TAAGAAATGCAAACCGAAACAACACTGAGATCCCATTTTACCCCAGAAAGCATGGCCGCCATCAAGAAATCTAATAATAAGTGCCGGTTAGGCCATGGAGAGAAAGCAACCCTACCACGTTGCCGGCAGGAATGCAAACTCGTACAACCACTGTGGAGCTCAACGCGGACATTCCTCAAAAAGCTAAAACTAGAAATTCCATCCTACCCAGCTCTCCCCCTTCTAGGAATCTTCCCCAGACAGCTAAAGACATCCTGTCGCAGTGACACAGGCACAGCCATGTTTATGGCAGCACAATTCATCGTAGCCAAGTGGAGGTACTGTGAGACCCTAATGCTGAGTGAGATAAATCAGACACACGAGCTAGAATCTCAGTGGTTTCTCTTAATATGAGAAACCCAAAAATACAAGTAAAGAGCAAAGTAGAAGATAGATCATAGAAGATAGGGAAATCGATCTTTCTCAAAGGGGAAGGGGATGTAAAAGGAGTGAAGATGTGTTATGTACACGTGCAAACATAGCCCCACAAGGACTGTAATCATTATGTACTGCAAACATGTATTAATAAAGAAATGAAAATTGAAAAGAAATGCAACTGAAATGCCTCGGTCCCGGCAACTGCCAGCTTCCTCCCTCCCGAGTTCCTTTCCAGTTCTGGCCAGGCCTGTAGCCTCCCCTGGGGCTCAGGTTGTTTTCATAATATAATCTGCCTGTCTATCTCCCACAGTCCCCTGCTCCACCCTCCTACAGCCTCCATTTCTTAGGGCTGAGTGGTATTCCTCTCTGCTCTCAAGCCAACCCTGAGGGAAGTCTACTCAGGAGGTGGACAGGAGAGTCGCTCGCTGGCAGTCTTTGTTCTTAGTGCTGATGCTACAACCAGATCCCCTTGCTTGCTCTATGGGCATGCATGGATCACTGGGATATGATGTCTTTAACTCTTTTGGGAAGATATCTAGGAGAGGAATAGCTGGCCAAATGGAAATTCTAGTTTTAGTTTCTCTGTACCCTTGGACATCGCAGGGGTGAAATGCCCATATCCTACAGCACCAGCCCAGGCCACCAGGAGCTCTGGAATCCCTCCGGGAGGGCTGGGTAGTGTGCAGCAGGGATGAGAAGCACTGCCCAGTTGGGTATCACTGTCCCCTTCTCACTGGGGACAGAAAATGGGCACTCAGAGAGGGTAAGCCACGTGATGAAAGTCACAGCGCAGAAATCTGGGGCCCCAATCCCTGCTTGTCCAACTCCGAAGCAAAAGCTTTTCACACTGGGCCGGGCCCTGGACCAGGCCCTGGACCACAAAGACTGAGGGCAGGCGCGCTCCCTCTCCCCTGGGCTATGCAGCAGCAGCACCCTGCTCTGGGCCGCCCTCCCCCAGGGTTGGGCACTGGCACGGGCTCCACCACCACACAGGCTGAGGACTGAAGCTGCTTTCCAGCTCTGCAGCCTTGAGCCTCCTGCCTCCTGCTGTGAGTGGAAAATCGATGAGACAGTGCCAAAGACAAGGTCCTGCACACAGTGTGGCCTGGACAAATATTAGCTCTCTTGTCACTCGCCAAAAGGGCTGGACGGCCCAGTCCCTGCTCTGCCCTCGCTGGGAGCTGGCTGTGTCTCCCATGCTCCGGGCCTCAGTTTCCTCACTGTGGGATCCGCGCACAGGCGGGGCTGCTCACCGTGCCTGGGGAATGTGGATGGCACCGGCACCCCATGTCCATTCCACCTGGCCTTTCTCCTGGGCTCAAGCCCCCCTCCACTTGGGCTGGTGGCCTTGGGTCTGAGATGCGCCTCTCTGACAGGCAACTGGGTATGAAGAACCAGCTGCTCTCGGTGCCCCGTGTCTGAGGGAACCGCCCCAAGGCTACTCGACCCTCTCCTTCACACTCCAGGCTGAGCAGCCTGCAGGGCTTGGGTCTGAGCCTGAGCCCCTGGCCGATGCCAGGCCTGCCCCTTAGCCGCTGCTGCCCTTCCAGCTCCACACTGGTAGCTCCTATGCTCACTGGGGAAACTGAGGCTGGGAAGGAAGAGCCTCTCCAGGGCCACTTTGCCCAGTGACTCACAGTGCCCCAGGGAACCTGTTCATCCAGGCTGGAAGGGGGGAGACACTCCGGATGGTACTAAGGCCAGGATCTCCCCCTGGGTCAGCAGAGATGCCCATGTCCAGGCCAGCAGTACCCCATGACACCCGAAACTCTAATGTAGGCACTTTACACCCGGGGAAGAATGCATAGCATTTAATCTAATCATGTATTTTACATAACCCAATTAGCCAAATTATTAAGGAGACATTCCATCTAATTTTTCTTGTACTAACTCTTCAAACTAGTGTATATTTTATACTGAACAACTAGTATTGCCAAATAAAATGCAGGCTAACCTGGCATGGTGGTGCATACCTGTAATCCCAGCACTCGAGAGGCTGAGGCAGGAGGATCGCTTTGAGTTTGAAGCCAGCCAGTGCTACATAGTGAGTTCGAGGCAGCCTGAACTACATATCGAGCCCCTGGCTCAAAAAATTAATTAATTAAAATAAAACAGGCTACTTGGGAAAATTTGGATTTTAGGTCAGTCAATAAGAAATAAACCTTTAGTGTAAGTATACACAAGTACTGCACGGGACATACTTATTATACTAAAAGTTCACTTCCTGTGGGTCTGAAATTCAAATTTCCCTGGATGCCTCCAACTTTTCTTCCCCCACCAGCCTGCATCCAACATGTCCAAAATTGGGGCCGGGGCCACATGGTCACATGTTTGGAGGCCACCTGCCCTTGAGGCCAGAAGGGCACAGGCGGGCCAGAGGACGAGAGGCGCCCTGCCTTTATCCACCGAGGCCCCATTCCTCTGCCCCCTCTCCACGGCCTCTAGCCTTCACCTTTTTCCTGCTTTTGACATGGTCTGTTGTGTGTCTTCGCTTTCTAGAATTAGCTCAATAACTGTTTCCAGTAATCACCCAGGAGGTAAACAGAGTGATGGGGGAGAAAGTCCACACCTTGCCCCTAGTTCTCCCTATCAACAAATTCTCCATATCAGCAAAAACCAGATAAGGAGTCAGGCCAGGGGGCGGGCCAGGAGGCTGGTTCCAGGCAGACCCCTCCTTAGGGCTGTCCCCTGCATCCCCCACAGGCTGCCCCAAGGCTGAGACACTCCAGGGAGGGCACCTGTGATCTTGGGTGCATGTCCTTGCCTCAGTTCACATGGGCAGACACTGAGGAGCTGCAGACTGGGACCTGTGGGCTGGGCAGGTGGAGGCCAGGGAGCTGCGGGAGAGATGCAGTTTGAACAGATACCCTCGGCCCCCAGCTGTCCGCTGCTCAGAGCCCCGGCCCCGGGAGGGTTGCACATTCAGTGGCAGTAGTGTGGGTCTCCAGCCACAGCTGGGACAGAGGCTGGGGGGAGACTGGGCCCTGGCTCACCCAGCACAGCTTCCGTGGGGCCAGGCTCAGAGGGCCATGTGCAAGGGACGCTCCAGACACCTTGGGCCAGATGCCTAGAGTTGTAAGGCAGTGACAGCAAGGCATTAAACCAGGCTCAGACTCTTCTGATCTGGAGGACCTGGGCAAAGTTCACAGCCTGCAGCCTGCAGGGGAGGAGAGTGGGGGGGGGGGGCGGGCGGGCATTCGACCTCTCCCCAGCCTGGGCCACCTGTCAGCCCTCTCCGCACTCCTTCTGCTGCCCCCACAGCACACCTGTACCTTCTCTTCTGCTGCCCTGCAGGCAGCGCTCGGCTGGGTTGTGGGTCTCATGCCACGTCCTGTGGCCTCCAAGGCAGGACCAGGGTGAGAAGGGTGAGGCATTGCCTGGGGCTCAGAAGTTCAAGGACACTGGACACCATGTACTTCCACAGTCAGGATGCATGAGTGTTCAAGGCAGTATTCTTTTCTTTGGTTTAATTTTTTGAAAAAAATTCTTCTTTGAGACAAGGTCTCACTATATAGTTCAGGCTGGCCTCAAACTCGTGGCAATCCTCCTGCCTCAGCCTCCCAAGTGCTAGGATTACAGTTGTGCATCACCACATCCAGCTCATGCAGTTTTTTAAAAGTCAAAATTTATGATAAAAATAATCCAGGATGGGCAAAATACCAAATATGTAAATAAAGACAGGACTGGCAATCCTGTTTTTTCCTTGTGTATCAGACCTGTGTGTTATGTATGGATCCTGTCTTTATTTTAAAAGTTAACACCTTATTCCGGCCCTTTTTGCATTCATTCTGATTTTCTCAGAAAATTGCATCAAAATGTGGGGGTTTTCAGTTGACTGGAGAGAGTCTTGGCTCTTCTTTAGTTTGTTCCCAAAGTGAGGGCCGTACCTCACCCCCCAGCTGTCCTGTGACAGAAGATGAGGCGACAGTAACAGCAGCAGCTAAGAGGGACTCTGGCCAAGGCTGTCCCACCCCCCTTCCTGTATCTGGTCAACAAATCCCGCGCCTACTGCCTGCAGCACTGCACCCTGGATGACTCGGGACAGGGAGGGGACAGTGACAGCCAGCATGGGCAGATCAGGGTGTGCGGGGCGACCAGTGACCCTCGCCCACCCAGGAGTCTGTCTCTGCCAGGAGTGCCTGGCCACGAAGCAGCAGAGCTGGGTCCTGGGCCCTCCTGGTGCCACAGGGCTGGTTCTGGAGTGTGATTCCTCTCCCGCAGTGGAATCCTGGGGAAGGGGGTGTGTGTCTCCCCACTTAAAGGAGTCCTCCCTTACCCCTCCAAGTGTGCTCTCCGCCTCCCTTAGGGAAAAGGGTGGCCCATCCCAGGATCTGGTTCCTCCTGAAGGGATAGAGCCCCAGGGAAGGGGCCTGGCCGCGGATAGGTCAGCTTCCTGCTCCCTGGCAGGCGGCCCAGCCAGGGCCCTTTAAGGCGGCCCGGGGCGAGTTCTTGCACCCGGGGCCCCTGCTGACTCACGCTTATGAAAGTGTTTTCCTGGCCCCGCCCCCGCCCCCGCCCCGCCTCCTCCCGAGCCCTGAAATACCCGCTTCCCTCTCACTGGTCTCCGATCCGCGTGTTCGCAGGCGTCCAGCTCCCGCAACCAGCACGGTGACCGCAGCCTCGAGTGGCCGTCTAGGCCAGCCCCACGGGCCTCCTCCTACCTGCTGCCCGGCAGGTGAGTGCGCTGAGCAGGGCTGGGGGTGGGAGGTGGTGGCCGGTGGTCAGGGGTGGGGAGCCAGCCAGCCGGGGGCGCCATGGCTCTGCACGCTCTGCCGCCCTGGGCCCCCCGCACCTCCTCGCAATGCTGGGTCCGGGGGCCTGGCCACCTCAGCCCCAGTGCCACTGCCAGGCAATGGTCCCAGCAACTGCTGCTGGCAGGAAGGAGGTGTGGCCAGCGGGCTTGCTGCCCAGAGTCCAGCGGCCACCAGGCCTGCAGCTGGACTGGGCAGGCGCTGCCTGAGGTTCCCCCATCTCTGCCGAGGGCAGCAGACCCCACGGGGATCTTGGGACTGGGCTTCTCACAGAAGGCTCCGGGCGGGGAAGAGGGGCGACCCAGGGAGGGGAGCAGGCCGCCTGGTGACTAACGGCAGGTAGCACTTGGCTGGCAGCTGCTGCTTCCCCAGCCTCAGGCCCCAGGCCGGCCCTCAGGTCACTCTTTACTTTCTCTTGTGAGATAGCGTGTACTAAGTCCCTGAATGACCCACCACCCTCCTACCTCATCCTCCCAGAGTGCTGAGATTGCCCCATGCGCCCTGCCCAGCTTCAGGTCACTTTTTCAGTGTCGCTGTTACCTGCTGCTTTACTTCCAGGGCACTTGTTCTTGGTGGGCAGAGCTGGGCTGTGCCGCGTGGGCGTTCCTGGGTGACTTGGAGCAAGATGTCACCAGCTCCTGACCCCTGTTCAGGTTCCTTCTCTGCAAAATGGGGATAAGGAGGGCCGGGGATTTAGCTCAGTGGTTCTGTCGCCTGCCTTGCAAGCGTAAGGACCCGAGTTCGATCCCCAGTACCAAAAAACAAACAAAAAATGAGGTTAAGGAAACCCGGCTCTGGGTGTCATAAAGTGGGCACAGGGACTCCAGGGGGCCCCAGAATGCGGCCCACAGGTGCCCTCTGAGCACTGCGCAGCTGTCAGGATGCCAGGGCCAGCACTGCAGGCTGAAACTTCATTTGAAGATGCAACTGTTCCCATTTTGTTTATGCTTATTTGCTTTTGTGGAACTTGAATCACCAACTTTTAAGGTTAACATTTTTTCCCAACATGTGCCAATCAGAGGGACTTGGATAACCAACTAAGCGAGGTGACACACATTTGTGTTCCCAGCACTCTGGGAGGCTGAGACAGGAGGATTGCAAGTTTGAGCCCAGGCTCTGCAATTTAGCAGCTTAGCAAGACCTTGCCTCAAAAAACAAAAAAATGTTTGTAAAGGCTAGGGATATAGCTCAGATGAAGGCCCTAGAGGATGAGTCCAACCCCACAAAAATGAGCATGAAGGGAATTGGGATAATGAACATTTGAACGACCCTCTCATTTTAAGTTCCTAGCGTGCATTTGTCCAAGGCTGAGAGGTAGAGCTTTCAGCTGCTCGGGACTTGGGGATGTCCTGTATCACTCTGCACAGGAAGTGACCTCTCAGGTCCAGCCCCTGGGCGTTGACCTCATGTGTGTGGCATCCAGAAGCTTCTGTTCAGTGCCTGTGGGGTGGGGAACCCCGGTCCTGGAGAACCCTGTCGTTAAATCAGAACCTCCCCTCTGCCGAGGGTGACAAGGAACACCAGTTCTGACTCCTCCTTCCCAGTGGGGCTCTGCCAGTGCCTTTCTCATGGTGTATGTTGGGGGCAGTGGGGCTTGCAGGACAGGTGGACACACTCCTCTCCAGGCAGGGGCGCTTCGGGGTGTCTGTGTGGGTTCAGTTCACAGGGATCGATTTTAAGTGGACTTAGAACAAGCCACTGAGAGGAAGATTACACTTTAACGTGTGCAGCATTTGAGCTGCTCTGCGCCCAGCCAACCCCGAGGCCGTGTGGGACTGTCAGTCCTTTGCAGTTTACTGCCAGAGCTGTTGTTAGTGGTGAGGTCACCCCCAGACTCCTCTCCCCAGCAGACAGCATGGGCCCCACCGTGTGGTGCCCAGTATCATCAGGAAGCCACCTTTCCTCTTCCAGGGTGGGGAAGTCTCCAAGGCTGGGGACTTGGCCAGTGGTGGACACAAGTGTCTTTCTTTCTTTTTTTTTTTTTTCCCTTTGGTACCAGGGATTGAACTCAGGACCTTGCGCTTTCGAGGCAGGCGTGCGGTGCCTCTGAGCTAAATCCCCGGCCCTGGACACAGGTGTTTCTGCCTTTGTCCACACCAGAGATCACACACTGGCCTCAGCTAGGTTTTGCTGGCCTGTGACAGATTTACCAAAAAATGGGCCACTTTTCCTAATTACCCACTTTTCTTAACCGGAATTCACACCAAATCCACAGTTGTGCCTCTGCTGGAGGAACCCTGTGGGAAGGGGCTGTCACCCCGAGCCCCATGCCAGCCCAGCTGCTCTTCCACTCATGAGTGTGTGGCCTCCTCTTCGGGCCCTGCAGGGCCCCTCTGGGGACAGGCCCAGTGTCGTGGGCAGGCCTATGTGTGAGCCCAGGGTGCAGTGGTGCACACCCGTGATCCCAAGCATTCTGGGAGGCTGAGGCAGATGGATTAAAAGTTCCAGCCCAGCCTGGGCAACTTAGTGACTTACCAAGACCTTGTCTCAAAATAAAAAGAGAGCGTGTGTGTGTGTGTGTGTGTGTGTGTGTGTGTGTGTGTGCGCGCGCGCGCGCAAGCGCGCCAGGGGCGTAGCTCAGTGCAAAGGTCTTGGCTTTAATCCCCAATACCCAAGAAAGAGAATCAGACAGACTGACTGGCTGAGCCGTGCGTGGGCCCCACTGAGCTCCACATGCACCTGTGCAGTGGGATGCTCACACTGGCTGTGCCCTCCACGAGCCACATGGGATCAGGGTGGGAGGGCAGCAAGAAAACACTGGTCACTGCTCAGTGCCACTGTCCCTCACCCGTGCACAGGTGTCACCTGCAGGCCTCAGTCAGCAGGGGTGTGGATGGGACTGGGGTGGGGCTGTGACCCTGGTAGCCACACTGGGATGTGGATAAAGCCAATCTGAAACCCCTGGGCTTGGTGCTGGAAGGACTGGTTGGGTCCCTTGAATGATCTGGACCCATGGCCAGCAGGGAGCGCCAGCACATCATAGACAGGCAGGTTTGCAGGCATTGCCTCTACCGCCTGCTTCCCACCTTTCTGAGTCCCTGGTTCTAGACCACCAGGCAACAAGCCCGGGCCTTTCCCATGGGGGATTCACCCCGAGCAGGTGCTCCACTGTTGTCTCTCAGCAGCCCCTGAGGCTAGGACTCATTATTTCCACTTGACTTGAGGAAACCAAGACTCAGAGAAGTCACAGGACAGCTAAGGATCAGCTTACCAGGAGCAGGGACAGCTCCAAAGTCCAGCACACTGCACCAGAAGGTCTGAGGCCAAGTGCTGCGGTGGGCAGAGAAGGCCTCGTGGGAAGGCAGATACGCCTCTGGGCATTGCCCTGCCCATGGGCTGAGGTGGAAGGGGCAGGGTGACCCCGCCAGCAGGAAGGGAAGATGGGGAGCGGGCGTGTCTTGTCACTTCCTCCTTGCTGGGACACAATACCCGACACCCACCAGTTAGAGGAGGAGAGGGTTATTTCAGCAGTTGGGGGGATCCGAGGGCTCTAAGGCAGAGGGGCATGGCAGAGAGGAAACAGTCCGTGCAGGGCAGCCCGGAGGCCCAAAGTGCTGAGCCTCCCTCTCTACCCCACACACCCGCAGTGTGGACCTTCCCATGATCCACACCCAGAACTGTGCCATACCCACGGAGGACGACTAACGTACTTCTCCACACCCTAGCCCAGCATCACACACCCATGGTCCGGCCGCTTCCAAAAAGCCCCTCCTCTGAGCCCAAGAGGCTTTGGGGACATCTAGAGCCATAACGGAGAGACGAGGGAGTCGTGCCATGAGAGGCCTCCTGCACCCTGACTTGGCCCTGAGGGCCACCGTAGGCCGAAAGCCTGACCCCTTGCTCCCCACTTCCCCACCCCCCCAGGCCAGCCGCCAGCCCCAGCCATGAGCGAGTCCAGGAAGGACCAGGTGGGCACCAGCAGCTCGGAGCCCCTGCCCGTCATCATCATCGGTGAGTGTCACGCACTCGGGGCTCTGAGGTCAGCAGCTGGCCAGGCCCGGCGCACAGGGAGCTCCAACAGCTCCTCCTCCCGCGCCCTCTCTGCTGTGGTGTTTGGCGCAGGCTGAGGGCGGAATGAATGTTTTCCTTTCGTGGACAGAGAATAAATGGATGAACGAGCACCCCGCTGGGGTCTCTGACCCTGCCCTGTCTCTGCAGGCAACGGGCCCTCGGGCATCTGCCTGTCCTACCTGCTCTCAGGCCATGCGCCCTACGTGAAGCCGGATGCCGTCCACCCACACCCGCTGCTGCACAGGAAGCTGGCCGAGGCTTCGGGGCGCTGCCTCCTGGACCAGGTGGGAGTCGTCCACGCGTCCTCAGGGAAGACCCATGGGTGTGGGGACCGACCACAGTCGGCCCCAGCCTGGGGAGTCGTGAGGGAGAGGCCAGGGCATCCCAGACCCACACACCCCAACTCCCAGTCCTCGGCTGGGGACGCATTCTGCCCAGGGACACTGGGCTCTGAGGGTCCTGGCTGTCACAGTGGGTGCAGGACTACTGAATGGGGGGCACCCGAGCCCTACAGTGCTCATCGGCTCCCCTCCCACCTGAGCCCGGCGTGAGGACAAGCGTGCAGCCCCTCAGGCTGCGTTCTGTAGGACACCAGCTCCTGCATGACCCTGCAAAGGACAGCCCCACACTCAGAAATCTGGGGACTGCTGGTGCCCGCAGAACTCAGCTGCAGTTGTCAGAGCCTTCAGCAGGCGGGATGCATCCACTGGGAAAAGGCACCATCTCCCAACCCCGATGTTAGGGCAGGACACAGGCGAGGCCGCGGCTCAAGTCCTTTCTAGGCTGCCCATTTGGCCTGTGGACATTTCCACGCACTGGATCCTCAGCCCCAGTCCTCAGCCTTCTGCCTGCCACTTTCTCCCTGACCTGTGCCCCTCTGCAGGACCTGGATTACCTGTCTGAGGGCCTCGAAGGCCGGAGCCAGAGCCCTGTGGCACTGCTCTTTGATGCCCTCCTGCGCCCAGACACGGACTTCGGGGGCACCTTGGACTCCGTGCTCTCCTGGAAGCGGCAGGAGGAGCGAGCTGTCCCCCACCTGGTCCTGGGCTGCGGCCCACCCGGGGGTGCCTGGCATGTGAGTGGGGCTGTCTGGGGCTCCCTGCCCACCTTTCCTGCTTCTGCTCTCCTCTCGAGCACCCCCTCTCCACCCCCTCCTGCCCAGCCTCCTGCCCCGGGCACTGTGCTGCCAGCCGGCTCTGAGAACCCCTTGCCTTGCAGGCCATGGAAGGCTCCATGGTGACCCTGAGCCAGGGCGAGTGGATGGGGCTCCCCGACCTGCAGGTCAAGGACTGGATGCGGGGGAAGCGCAGGTGAGATGCCAGGGGAGCAGAGGGACCTTCCAGAGGGGAAACTGAGGCTTGAGGGGGGGAAAGATGGGCCCATAGAGGAGCAGGAGTAAACACCGAGCGGGCTCCTGGGTCCTGGGCTTCCTGCCCCTGCCACAGCCCCCGACTGGGCCCCAGTGGGTGGCGTCCCAGCCTTTAAGGAAGGCCTGAGCCGCCCCTGCTCCACGCAAGTGACTCCCCACTAGCGACCTGGCCACACTTAGAATGCCGAACGGGCCACAAGGAGGAACCTGCCCAGCCCGTAAACCGTCACGGGATGTGCACCCTGGGACGCCCAGGGGAGGGGTCTGTGCCACACTTCACTGTGCCTGTGAACTGCCTCAGAGCTGACGGGAAGGCGCCCCTAGGCAGGGCAGCTTCCTCTTCACTGGAAACAGCTCCTTGCACGCCCTACCTTGATGTTTTAACATTGCCCCTGAAGTGCTTCAGGCGGCGAGGACACAGCCTGGCAACATTCCCAAAGGGCACGCACCTGGCCCGGGTCAGCAAGGCTCTGCTGCACTCTCACTGCAAGCCGTGCCCTGTGCTGGGGGGGGGAAGCCACGCCCGGCTCTGCCCTCCTGTCAGTAGTAAATAACTGTCCCTGGGCTGACGGCTCGTACAGAAGGGGAGAAGGGGCCGCAGGCTCTAGGAGCCAAGGCTGAGCTCCGCCTCAGGGCAGCAGGCTGGCGGGCAGCAGCCTGCGGTGCCACCCATGCTCACCCAGCAGGGCGCCCACCAGCCGGGGTGGAGGTCACCCCAGGCCACAGCTGGGCTGCTGAGGTGAGGCCACGCCTAGGACTGGGAACCCTGGCCCCACGGCCACCACTGAGCTCCAGTCTCGGCCCTTTCTGTTTCCCGCTTCTTTCTTTTTAAGTTTCGAGACCACGCCTCACTAAGTCACCCAGGTTGAGCTCGAACTTTTGGTCCTCCTGCCTCATCCTCCCAGAGTGCAAGGATCATAAGCACGAACCACCTCGCCTGGCGTTGGGATGTCGTTAAAGTCAGCCTTTAAAGCGAAAGACAGTCTCCATCCAGAAAGCTCCCGGGCCCTGAGTACAGGAGAAGGTTGCCTGTTCCGGGCGGGCGTTTATACAGACGGGCTCACACGGTGTTTCCCGAGCGTCACTTAGCCCCGCGCACTGACAAGGTGACCAGCCCTCACGTCACCTACCGCTCAGGGTCCAGAGCCTCGTGATGTGGGCCTGTCACCCTCACCGCTCTGGCTTCACAAGGAGGAAACTCAGCCAGGGGCTCACTGATTCCCACCCCTCTCCTCTTCCCAGAGGTCTCCGCAACAGCCGGGCCACGGCCGGGGACATTGCCCAGTACTACAGGGACTACGTGACCGAGAAGGGTCTGAGCCCCAACTTCCTGTCTGGCGCGTTGGTCACAGGCGTGGAGATGGGGGGAGCCGAGCCCAAGGACCCCAGTGCCCTCTTCCGAGTGAGTGGCATCCTGACCGCTAAGGACCGGCGCCAGCGGCCCTTCTCGCTGTGGGCCCGAAGTGTGGTCCTGGCCACCGGCACATTTGACAGCCCGGCCCGGCTCGGCATCCCGGGCGAGGCCCTGCCCTATGTGCACCACAAGCTGTCGGCCCTGGAGGCGGCCATGCGGGCGGGCACCGTCACCCCGGCCTCAGAGCCCGTGCTCATCATCGGCGCCGGGCTGTCTGCGGCCGATGCAGTGCTCTACGCCCGCCACTGTGGCCTCCCTGTGATCCACGCCTTCCGGCGGCCAGTGGACAACCCGGGCCTGGTATTCAACCAGCTGCCCAAGATGCTGTACCCCGAGTACCACAAGGTGCACCAGATGATGCGGGAGCAGTCGGCCCCATCACCCAGCCCCTACGAGGGCTACTGCAGCCTCCCTGGGCACCGGCCGCTGCTCTTCAAGGAGGGCCGCCAGGCTGTGCTGTGTGACCCGTGCAGCCGCCACCAGGTCTTCGGCGTCTCCCTAGTGCTGGTCCTCATTGGCTCGCACCCCGACCTCTCCTTCCTCCCAGGGGCAGGTGCCAACCTCACCTCTGACCCTGAGCAGCCCCTGAGTGCCAAGAGGAACCCCATCAACGTGGACCCCTTCACCTACCAGAGCACGTGCCAGGAGGGCCTGTACGCCCTCGGGCCTCTGGCTGGGGACAATTTCGTGCGGTTTGTGCAGGGCGGGGCCCTGGCCGTGGCCAGCTCCTTGCTGAGAAAGGAGACCCGGAAGCCACCCTAGTGGCCCTGGCACCCAGTCCCTGAGGAGGAGAGCACAGCCCTGGGGCATGCAGGGCCCCCAGAAGATGCCCCGTGAGGTCCAGAGACTGGACCAGAAGCGGCCCCTCCTGCTCAGAGGAATGAGGGACGCGGGCTCCATGGCCGGACAGGGGCCAAAGGCCAGCGAGGGCTGGGCCTGGGATCTGGGGAAGCTGCGGAGGAGCCCGGGTCCCCAGGGCCAGCTGAGCACCCCGCCAGAACGACTGCATGCCGGCTCCACCCAGAATCGGGTCCCAAATAAACCAGTGTCTGCCTGCACTTCCGCCTGAGGACTGTGCTTGGGAAGGAAGGGGGTCCCTGGAGGAGGCGCCCCGTGGCTGGGGGACAAGCGCAGGCACCGCGGGGGACCTGTGCCAGGCAGGGAGGCGTGTGCAGGGAACGGCCTCCAGAAGGCGCCTGCGGCCGTACTCCAGCCTGTCCCTGTCCCGGCCACTCTGCTCTCAGTCCCTAGTTCCTGCCTGCCCCAGAGCCTTTGCACAGGCAAGCTCTAGCCCAGGGCCACTCATATCTCAGCGTAAGCATCGCTACCATAGAAAGGCTCTCAGGGCACAGCCTCCGCGGCTGCCGGGGACAGCCCTCCTGCGGTGGCCGGAGCACATCAGCTTGAGTTCTGAATTTAGATGCGGACTCACCCCGGGGTCCCGCCCCAAGAGGCCCTAAGACTAGGTCTCCTTTGCCTGTCACTGTCACCTGAACCCAGTGGGCTCGCTTTCAGATCCTTTGGCCGGACCGGCAGGGCTTCTGGGGCGCGGAGGAGATAGCGGCTGGGCGGCTGGGGCGCGGGCGCCGAGCCCTGGACTCGGCCGGCAGAGGGCGCTCGGGGCTCGCCAGATCCTGCGGCGGCGGCACGGGGGCGAGGGGCTGCGCCGGGGTCTGCGGGCACTTCCGGGGGACGGACCCCCA